CCCCCCCCCCCCTTCATTTTGGTCATTTTACAGACTGGTGATCAGCTCGTCGCAAGGCCTCTACCTAAAGCAGGACCACACATACACTTACAAACATCCATGTCTTTTGAGGGATTCGAACCCATAATCCCGGCCACCGTGACCGGCCTGCATTGAAACAGTTTAATTTTGTTAGTGTTTATTTCCTTGCTGTAGCAGAGAATACATTAGGAAGTTCGGTGACTTCTTTAGAGCATATATTCAGGCGGAAGAGTCGGGCGATTCTGTAGTCCAAACGGGTCGACCCATAAGCTCACGTCAGCAGCTGAATATTCTAGAAAACTTCGTGTGTTTGTGTCAAGAAATGTTGAAATTCGGTCTTGTCATGGTTGTAAGGGCAGCTGTTTGTAACGACAAAGAGAGCGTATCAGTCTGTGAAGAAGTAGCACTGTTCAAACGCGGAGCCATGCTGCCCAGTGTACGTTGCCTGGTAGTTGTAGATCAGCGCTGCGTCCTCCTCTTCGGGCGAAGGGAACTGATGGCTGTTCTTCCGGGCTACAAGCAAAGATGGAAGCAAATCAGACACTTCCTCATCAACTGACATCATCACTGGCAAAACAGAACCTTCTTGAGCCATAGTCTGACTGATTACATTAGGTTTTCACGTCTTTGGATTTCGCAACAATTATTTTTTTTACGGAGCAAGGCCATCAGCCTTTCGTCCAACCCCCAACCTTGAAGACTGGGCCCCTGTATTTGTTCGGAGTTCGAGGCCCGGTAGGGTCAGAATTTTCCCCCACTCCATATCGTCCAGACCGGCTCTGGGGCCAACACAGCCTCCTATCCCAACGAGTAAAGCGCCAGGAGCGTCAAGAGGATCATTTCAAAAGTGGAGAGGGTCAATCAGTATCGTAATGTTTCCAGGGGGGAAGGAAACAGGCGCATTCTTTCGAAAGGGGGGGTAAACAACGCCATAATTTCAATAACGTGCGATACTATGAAGAATAACAAAATACAGTAAGCGATGCTGCTATCTACGGGATTTGTTTTCAGAAAACCTTTTCTACCAAAAATTCTACCCTGAAGATGGAACGTTGGCACCCAGCTCAGTCTGTATGGTAATTAGGCTACAGGCCAGAAGACCAATGAATCGGGGTTAGATTCCGGGCAGGAGCAAGAAATTTTCAGATTTTTCCAGACCGGCTTTGGGGCCCACGCAGACTCCGATATGGTGAATACAGTACACTTTCCCAGGGGCTAAGGACGAGGAGTGTGAAGCTGTCCACTCCCATCTAGTGCCAAGAATGCCTGGAGTTATACCTTCCTGATGGCGGCATGCGTACAAATTTACCCTTTTATCTCGGCCTGAATTAGATCAGTCTTCAAGAGTTCACCGTCTTGTGTTATCACTGTCAGACAAGGAAACCTGTCTCTGCACAGCCCAGACAGTCGGCGCTACCGCGGTAGCAGCAAGAAGACATAACAAACCGCTACCAGTCCCTCTAATGACGCAACAAAAGAAGCGACGTTAGACACAACGCATTCACGTCACACAGCGATATACCGGGTGTCCCAGGAGGAATGTGCCAGACTTCGGGAGGGTGATCCTAATGTTAAAGTATGCCGATATAACCCAAAACACCTCTGTCCAAAGTTGAACAGTTACAGAGATAATGACCAGAGAAGTGTGAAACTTTGACAGGTGTTACACACTTGTTGATTACCAAATACATATTAAAACTGGCAGGAATATGCGATTTCTGTAATGTTAATAGTGTACGTAACATCAAACTAACTTGTGAGTGACATGAAGCCATTAAATTGAACTACAAAAAAACTCGCACGCCGTGTCATAGTTGTCGTTAGGGTTCCAAGCACTATACATGACACATGAATGGCAAGCACTGACGTCACATGGCTGACTGCGCGTTCTGGTATGCGAGTGTATGCGGCTAGTCAGGTCCGTCATCACAACACTCAAGGACAAACATAGATAAGACTTGTCAGCTGACAGGTACAGTGCGTGGACCGCCAGAAGACCACGCTTTTCTCGGGCCTTTATCTCTGTAGCCGTTCAACTTTGGACATAGGTGGTTTGGGTTATATCGGCATACTTTAACATAAGGAACACCCTCCCGAAGTCTGACACATTCCTCCTGGGACACCCTGTATAGAGACACGCACACTAATTTATAGTTACGTTAAATTTTAATTCGCTTATTTATTTTATTTTAAACTAGCCTTAAAGTTAATATTAAGACATTTTAAATTACTACAGCTCTACATATTCATAACTTGTACTCTTCTCCAAGTATAATTAGAATGATCAAGTCAAGGAGGATGAGGTGGGCAGGGCATGTAGCACGAATGGGGGAGAAGAGGAATGCATGTAGGATATTGGTGGGAAAGCCAGAAGGAAAGAGACCACTGGGAAGACCAAGGCGTAGGTGGGTGGACAATATTAAAATGGATCTTAGAGAGAGAGGATGGGATGGAATAGATTGAATTGATCTGGCTCGGGATAGGGACCAGTGGAGAGCTCTTGTGAACACGGTAATAAACCTTCGGGTTCCATAAAATGCTGGGAAATTCTTGAGTAGCTGCAGAATTGGCTTCTCCTCAAGAAGGGCTCAACTCCATTAGTGAGTACGTACAGGTCTGCACAACAAAATGGCAGCGATAACTGTGAACCGGTCATTTAATGGACAAATTGTACTACACGGATCCATATACAAATTGCACAGAAATATCCGTACAGGTTTTTGTTACGAGGTGTCGCGTTGAGAAAGGCATGAAGGACGCAAATGAAGATCCAGGAAGAAACAACAAATGACAGCAAATAAGGATAAGGAACAAACGAATAAGAATATTACCTTCATTAACAAAGAAGTTTGCGAAGTACTGCTGAACCAAAATGGCGTTGGCAGTATGGGGATTGTTATTCGTCCTTTTCCATTCGTAAGCATTCTTCTCCGGATGGAACTGCACGCCATATATCGGGTACTGCTTGTGTTCGAAGCTGGATACGAACTCCAGACCCTGTGTGTCTTTGTTGACAGCTGTTACTCGCCAGTCACTGTCAAGCTTCGCTTGCGTCAGATTCTGTAACAAACAATTTCATTGGCCGTTTGAAGTCCGTAAGAGACGCGGAGGGCGCACCAAGGCAACCGTAGTTAACTGAGAGCTGCATAATTTCTAATTTAGGTTCCTCCTCCTCGAGGTCTGTGCGTCCCGGTGACACGGAGAACTATCCTGACTGGAGCATAAAGCTTCTGGTAGGTCCACCCACAAGTCAAAAGGTAAGGGCCTGACGAAGTATAATCCCTAGTTCTCCAGGTTTGGGGTTAGGCATGGCGCTAATAGCCCCACTCTGGAGAAAATGTAGTATTACGAACCCTCCAGAACCTATGGTGGTGACCAAGCTCCACAGAGACGTGTAGCACCATTAAAGAAGGTAGAAAAACAATTTGGGACCTCCGGGGTCCACTCACCCTCAAGGAAATAGCGTCTCCGGTCTCAAAAAACGAGATTAACGGCCTCGGGGATTCGTTGCGCTTACCACGAGACACCCCTCTATCCGCTAAAGTTGGCACTAACTTCGCCGACAAGCGGCGGTCGCCCGGTCGGTATAGTTCGCTTGCGGAGTAAAACCACGGAGTTTGTTTGTATTATGGGGTTTAATTTTGCCAAATTTAAATTGGGACGCCTGCATGAGAAGCACGCAGTAGCAACTTCGGAATTGAGAACCATTTCAGCGTTCGTTTAAAGACAGAGGAAAACCACGACAGTCTGTGCCTAGATGGTCGGTCGCAGGACCTTCTGAATGCACACACTGGAAACAAAACATAAGCCGAGTGCTTACTGAGAAGTTGCTATTATTATTATTATTATTATTATTATTNTCTCAGAGGTCTCCTAGAGACATGAGGATCTTTTACGTGCCGTAAATCTACGACACGGAACACACGCTTAAAGTCCCTCCCGGAGGACTTGTTCCCTGAATTTTTCCGCCATTAAAAATTCCACGACCTCCGCCGGGTTTGAACCCGCGTACCTTGAGTCATGAGACTACGGAGGCCGCTTACTGAGAAGTTAGATGACATAGGGACCAGACTTGAACATAAACCTAGAAAATCACCGAAACGCCTAGCTCAAGAGACGGAGTGTCAAAGCCTAGTGCAAGAACGACAACACAGTTGCTGAAGCCGTCCAGTGAAAGATGGTGTCTGGTGTGCTGTAAGTGCAAGAAGGATTGTTGTACGTGTATTTTTAACGAAACAATGAATTACGAAAGATGTTTATGTGTAGAGGGATAGCGTGTTCAACGCCTGCTGTGATCTGTGAACAAAGTTAAGAACCTTCCTCCATTCCAAATGTTATCGGCATGCAAAATTCGCGCGCACTTCGCGGCCGGCGGTGCACCGGTAGCGGTGAAGTGCAGGACCGTGTACGCGTCAGTTTTATTTAAAAGAAAACACTCTGTAGTTTCCAGTCATGCAACACTGCGACAGTGTGTACCGTTTCCTTGCTTATCAGAAAATCACTTACCTTTTTAAACAAGGCGCTTATCTAAAACGGGCACAATATAACAATAAATCAGACTGTGTTACAGCATTCAAGATATGGCCAAGATTTCGCGTCTTGCATGGATGATGCACAAGAAAAGCTAAATATAGAAATATGGAATTTAAAGGTTGAGTCCGTACCTCACAGTAAACAGACTGCGTCTCCGCTGCAAAGCCCAGCCGGTTAATGATGTTTGGGGAAATGACCCATATGGAACACAGGGGCACGCGGTAGCGCAGTTGGTTGAGGCACTATGCTGCAAGTCGGAAGGTCGCGGGCTCTATTCCCGATGGGTTCATTAGACTTTTCAATAGATCTAATCCTTCCAGCCGCACTATGGCCCTGGGGTCGACTCAGCCTCTAACAGAAATGAGTACCAGGAATGTTCCTGGAGGTAAAGGGCGACCGGTGTGTAAGGCTGACAACCTCACCGCTATTTACGAGTTTACTGTCTAGAAAATGTGGGGGCCTCGACGTCTCGCAACCCTATGGGACACCACGGCCTGTTACAGGGATAGCTTTACCTATTTACTTTTCTACCCTGAACATGGAGACAGTAGTTTCATCCGAAAATTTGGTAATCACAACGCGTCACAGCCCAGAAAACAATATTTATAACCTCAGAATTTCGCTCCTTGGCCATGTTTTCGACGATAAAAATGTTTCATACAACAGAGGCAAGATATTTCCCAGTTGTACCAATCTGCCTGTCAGTTCTACCTGCGGCAGGAAGCTGCAACGTGCGCAAAGGGGGCTGACCTAAACTGGTTCCGTGGCCCTGTGCTCCTACCCGAGTCGGTATCAACTGATGATGCCACTTACCGCCTCAGTGATGCAGAAATGATGGAAGTTTGCGGTGACGTTCTCTGACGTCAGGATTTTCAAAATGGCGTCCGAAGCGTTTGCATACAGCCTACTGGTGTTGTAACCTGAGTGCAAATAAATGTGTTCGTAAGATGAAACATAAAAGCCTGAAGTGACGGACACGGCTGGGTTTGAAGACATACTGATCCACAAAAGCAAGAATTCAGTCTCCAGCCCACAGAAAACATGGCATCTCCATTTTGAAGACCAGAAACCAGCGGGTTCTCTTTCACAATATTGTTTGGCGGGTATAGTAAAACCTCGCTAATCCGGTTACAGTTAATCTGGATGCCGGATAATCCGGATAGAAACAAAAATGCCGTTCACAGTTGATTACATTGACACGCGGCATATAGGAAGGCAGACGAGTCACTTGTCTGTTCAGACAGAACTTGAGACAGTTTCTTCAGACTTGCATTGTTACGTTCAAAAACAAGTGCAACTTCTGAGTCTTCCATCTATGAATAGATGTACGTTGTACTGTCTCTTTATACGAGTTTTTAAATGAAGGCTCTACAGTGATATTTCATTTTATTTTCATCAGCACTGCCTGTACCAATACATGTATTTGTGTTCGAAGTTTTTTTCTCTTTTAGAGCTACCTTTTGCTTCACTCATCCGGATGACCCACCATTACTCCGAATTAGCGAGGGTTTACTGTATAATGTTTGACTGGTGAACGGAACCAGATGTTGATCATATTTATTTTATTTCTGTATAGTTTATTTAATAACGCTGCCAGTATCAGACCATTTTGTATGTATTATCTGGTAACTATGTGGAAGGAAGTGGTCATTACCGAACTTAAGGTAAGAGACCTGCAGTGTCCTGGAGAGAGTGAGACAAATCACTGAAGACCTTGGGTAGTACAGTTGGGGTCCCATCCAAACATTTCTCCAAAAAATACGCCGATACCATGTAGTTTCTTTCTTTGGGGGGGGGGNGTTTTCTCCGAGTACTTCGGTTTCCCCTGCCAATCTTCATTCCACCAATTGCTCCACAATCATCATCACCTATCATCTGGGGCTGATACAGTAGGCCAGTATTGGCCGCAGTACCAAGTGGACTCAGACTCACCCCGCTAAAGAAAAAGAAAACCCCTGAGGCTATGGCACTGCTTTCGAGACCACGTACGTACAGGTCGAGTTCTTGCCCTGGTCTCTGGGCTGCGTGCGAGGAGAAACGATAAGGACCGCAAGAAGCAGCGAGGAAGTGGACACAGCTACATTTTGGGAGGGATGGAGGGAAGGTAACTAACGCCCTGTTATAACCCCATACACACGGCTACAAGTCCTTGCCTCAGTACTCGACCAAACGCACTGCGCATTCTAGCACAGCGGTCAAGTCTGAAAATAAAGACTGTACCTGGCTTGAACTGAAGCGGCATGGCCACGTTGTCAGCCTCGCAGTCTGTTCGGATGTCTTCACGCTGAGCGGCAAGGTAGGTCAGCAACTCGAATCCCAGGCAGGTCCCCCACACGGGAAAATAAACTCCCGCCTGGTTTTTTAGTATAGCGTGATGGTACAGTTCCCACGCGGCGGCTGAATATCCACCGATTGCAGTGAAACTAGCGGCTCCTCCGGGAAACAAAATTCTGATGGTTGTCAAGGAAACAGTGGCATTAACAAAGGAAATGCTCAGCTGTTTTCCCGAATACACAACAATTCGGTTCAGATTTTTTTTCCTTTATCTTTCCCTTTCTCGTTGGTTGTTTAACGACGTCTACAGTGTCGAGACTACATGTCCGATAGTAGGATATGTGATTAATCTGGAAAGCCGTGGTAATCTAATTGAAATACTTGCCAGGAGGGACTGCGAAAAAACATGCAAGGCCTAACTCAAGGATAGCCGGTGTCTCGTCCGGGATTCCAACCCAGTACACCGTTAGATGTGATAATTCTACCAACAGATGGTTCTAACAATAATCGCTAATCCTCGTAGTGTGTGGATTTGCTTAAGTGTGGTTTCTCTGTGTCGCCATTCGAACCCAGTATCTCCCGAGTGCAAATCTCAAGCACTACCGCTTTGCAAACCCGCTCGGTCTGGCTCCTTATCAATAAATTAAATTAAGATTACGTCTTGGGCCGTGGGCGCCTCTATGCTTTTTTTTTTTTTTNGAAGACATGTTGAACCAGTCGTTTTCTACGCGGTTCGTGTCGTATCAAAGCAAAGCAGGCGATTATATCTTCCCGGTGCTTCTTGTTAAATAATGTTATTTGCTGTATAAGAATACATGAAACCATCATAAAACAAAGTTGATGTTTTGTTACAAAAAATCAATTTATGAAAATGCATGTTTCGTTTAATATAACAATTCTTCTACTGTCTCCGCCTTATCGTGGTGGTGGGGTTTAAGTGCTCCTGAGACCCTGAGAGCTATGCCGGCGGTAGCGTAGCTATTGGTAGGGTCACCCATGCTGCACAGAACAAAGGGTAGGAGCCAGATGCAAATACCCTGGTCCTACAGGTTGGGGGTTGGGCGTGAGGTTAACAACCTCACACCGTAAAAACTAAATTGTTCACAAACCAGACAATCAGCCTCGGATGGATGGAAGAACAGAGAGGAATGGGGGCAGAGTGTTCAGGAGGCTAGAGCTCACCCTGAGCTGCAGCGCCGAGGGGAAGGAAGGAAGGATGGAAGAAAAGAAGGAAGGAAAGGAGGAAGGAAGGAAGGAAGGATGGATGGAAGAAAAGAAGGAAAGGAGGAAAGAAGGAAGGATGGATGGAAGAAAGAAAGGGAGGGAGGAAAGAAGGAAGGAAGGGAGGAAGAAAGAAAAGAAGGAAGGAAGGAAAGGAGGAAGGGAGAAAGAAAGGAAGGAAGGATGGATGGAAGAAAATAAGGAAGGAAAGGAGGGAGGGAGGAAGGAAGGAAGGAATTCTTCTACTGTGGGGCTCACTGCGCAACTGGGAAACGCTCCCGGGACACGGTTTGAGAATCTTTTCCGTAGGACATTGAGGATAAAGGAACGGGCTTTAAATACTTTTATTTTGTATTATTGATATTAGGTATATTCTCTTCTTGTCTTCAGTTTCTATGATTTAAAGGAAATTGGGGGGGGGGGCCTCAGGGGGCCCCACCTCCTGCCGGGACCCATGACACGGTTGTCGAAAGCGCGTTCACTTTTTGTTTAAAGTCCATTAGTTTCCCTATGTTGAACCTCAAATTTTCAGACCCCGTCATAAATCAGGTGCATAGTCGGTGGTTTCTCACTGCAGAAGCAGGGGTTCAATCCCCAGATAATCAGTGTAGGATTTCCCGTGGTTAGCGTGGCACTGGGATGGGCTTTCGTCAAGTATTTTGGCTTCCCGTGCCAATTCTCATTCTACCAGCTGCTTCCGACGTCATATAGTCTGGATACTGATAGCGTCGTTAAACAAGCAACTTAAAAAAAGTATGTGCTTTGTGACATGCGCATCACGCGTTTGTCTTATTTAAATATCGGTTTTTATCTCTTTAATTCGTCTGGTACTCTTAAAATGATCTGTAATAAATCTGTAGTGAGAAAACAGACGGAAAACAAAGACTCACCCGTTGACGCTGTTCACCAGGTTTTCGTAATAAGATGCAGTGCGATTAATTCTGTAAGAAATGCAAATGGCAAAATAAAGTATAAATTGTCTTTATCAGTCTCATTGCACTGCAGTGAATGTTTTTGGTAGTGGTAAAGGCAGAGGTGAGAATTTCCCTATGCTCAATTAAGTACGACGCCATGAAGACGTAGGGGAGCGGAGGTATGGCTCCACATATTCTTAACCTCGGAACTAGATGGAATTGAATGGCCCAGGCCACTTTACTTTAGCGAGAGAACTCTTGCCCACTAGATACGAAGGTGGGTGGACAGCGCGCTGGTCTAAACTCCCTTCTTGACTCTGTCGGGTATCGAACCTGATTCCTCAGTCCTCCATCACGTAGCCCACTCTCTGTACTGACAGTTTGAAAGCATGTTTGTTCTGATAGCAAGCGAAAAATATATATAATTGGAAGTGAGGAATACATCGAATTATGTAATCATGAAAATTGAAATTACATGCGACAATATGGAATCATTATACAGGGAGTTAATTTTTACGAGCGCGGACTCGGACAGAAGAGTGGGACGCGTCATTGTAGCACTGCTTAGATATCTCACTGCAGAAAATTGTTTAAAACATCTTTCAGGGTACGTCATTCCTTGAGTAGGCAACCTTAAGGAAAGAAAAGTCCTCAGAACTCAACATGATCTCTTGCGCGACGATTTGGGTTCCGATCGCAAGTTTAAAATATAATTTAATTAGCTTTCCAACGATGCGTTAAAGGTCTACGTCACGATTTGATGATGACGTAAACTCGAAGGTATTTTATATACAGAATAATTTGGGTAGTGCACTCACTTGATAGGCACGACTCTGGCACCAGCTGCTTCAATGTATTTGACGTATGATGCAGGGACGTAACTCGTGTAATTCCCTGGAAACTTCTCCTGCATGTACACCGACAGCTCCTGTGACAGAATTCCTGTTGATAACAAGAAATACGCTGCATTGAAACCTGACATATATTATCCTTTAAATAATAAAATGTATGAGTTATTTAATTATGCTGTTGATAGCTGTATAATTGTAGGATCATAGAAGACTGGTGAACTGGAAAGGAATGCAGAATAAAAGGAAATTACGGGCCGAATTCAAAGAAATTAGACCTCTAAGATAAAGAACTCTCAATAAAATCAGCAAGGAAACAAATAGCCCCAGATTAACTTATATAACGTGTATATATATTTAAATGAATACGCTTCAAATAAATAACACAAAAGATCTAACCTCCAAATAATTTATATTTACTACTTTGGGGGCAGATGTCTTTTTGAAGACAATTGCATTCAAATTCTTACAGTTAATGAAGTTTAATTTTTCGGTTACGCTGGAATTTCGAAGGGGCGGTCCTGATCTAATCGAAGTACTTTATCGGCATTTGCCTGGAGGGACTGAGAAAACCACGCCCAACCTCAGGATGGCAGGTGTCCCTGCGGAGATTCGAACCGAATACCTCTTGAATACGAGTCTAGAGCGTTACTGCTGCGCCAACGCTCTCGGCTTGATGTGTTAAATTCAGTCCGTACCTCACATGAAACACATTACGTCTCCGCTACAAAGCCCAACCGGTTAATGCTGTTTAGGGAAACAGTCGCTCTTTATTGTGAGAACCATACGGAACACAGACACACTGTATGGGCAGAATAACGAGTATTACAGCTTACGGCCATGTGATTTGTTTGTTCACCTGTGTCCAAAACATCTCTGAGTATAAGACATCGTCAGTTAGTGTCGTTAATCGTTACATCATCAATACAGTGTTATATTAACACATAGAGGCCAACAAAGGACATGCCGCAGGACATAGTGAAACGAGCGTCACAAAGGATCTGAATGGACCTATGATTCATTGTCTTCCTGTGTTGCACCGTAGCATAACCTCGACCTGCTTCTTCCCGACTCCGAATTTCCGGCTTACTTCTTGTCGTAATGCTATGATGGCTCGAATCATCGCGTAAAAGATTAAATTACTAATTTTTGATATACAAAGTCATTCAAATGAAAACCACATAACCATTATAAAATGCCTATTATACAAAATTATGATAATCTGGTATCAGATTGTTGATCGAAGTCTTTTGGCAACACTGAGTGCCTACATGGTACACTATCTGTCGGCGGTAACAGGAAACTTTCAGTTTTCAAGATGGTGACACCCTCACAGTTATGAACTACAATATAGATGAGACCCGTATAATACTGGGTTTCGAATCGGAAGGAATGTAACTTGCTGACATTTATCGCAGAATTGTCGACTTGACCGTTTTCCCGTACGAGTGAACTTTGTTATCATCCTACATGACAGTGACTTTAATGTCAGTAGTACTGTAAACATAGGTCTGTGAACAAACTGCAAATGATTTATGTAAAACCAATATACGGTTTCCTTTTATAATTGGATGCCCCTGAAGTTGGCCATATGACTGCCTCATGTTGGACATTTTCATAATTTATTGATTAAAAAACTTGTTGCATTAGATGGTAGCTCTGAATGTGCTAGATTCTGTTTTCAGCATGCCTGAGATCTCGCGGATAACATTCTTCTGTGCGATTCCTTGTTCAAGGTGTGACGTACTCTCAGAGATGTTTTCGACAAACATACCTATAATTGGACGGTCGTTGAGGTGAAGTCCCGTTGAAGCAGGCAGCACCGGCAATAACTGGCTCTCCATTTTAGGAGCGAAGTACCGTACAATCCGCAAAAGACAGAAACCAGACTGGACATATCTGCTGCTATCTCACACACAGTTAATTTGATAACCATGCCATACCTGTCGCAATTGGCAGATAACACTGAGGCGTGTGATTTACACCTGGCGTAATCGATGGGTGGTTTCACTTTAATTTCTTTGTCTTCCTCTGTTTCCTTTTCTATTGATGATGTTTGAAATGTCGCATAATTTTGTAGAAATCTCTCCTACTGTTACATACCCCTTTGGAGTCATTCTGAAGGTATTGCCTGTAGAAAGACCGTCTCCATGAATCAATGGAGTAATCCACCTGCCTCAATTTGCATTCATGCAGGNGGAGAGCTCTCTGGACTAATCCAGTCACGAAGTATCCTGAACGCAGCTGCAAGGGGAGCCCCAGACTTTGCAGGAGAGCTCTCTGGACTAATCCAGTCACGAAGTATCCCGAACGCAGCTGCAAGGGGAGCCCCAGACTTTGCAGGAGAGCTCTCTGGACTAATCCAGTCACGAAGTATCCTGTACACAGCTGCAAGGGGAGCCCCAGACTTTACAGGAGAGCTCTCTGGACTAATCCAGTCACGAAATATCCTGAACGCAGCTGCAAAGGGAGTCCCAGACTTTACAGGAGAGCTGTCTGGACTAATCCAGTCACGAAATATCCTGAACGCAGCTGCAAGGGGAGTCCCAGACTTTACAGCAGACAGCGAGTTTCAAGGATTCTATTGACCATTGTGCCCCGGCAACTTTGCATGTTTTCCCCACAATCAAGATATAATATTAACATATTTTGAAGCCGAAATTCTTCAGTAAAAAAATAAAGAAAGCGCAGCAATTATTAGTTGCGGAAATAGGCGTAACTACAAAGACGTCAATACATAAGATTGATTATATTATCTTAAAGGAGTTAATTTTGCTAATAAAACAGTGTTATCTCTTATATACACTTTGATAAAACACAACATGAAACATGCGTTGCTACAAGCAAGCGACGGCGTTGCACGAACTATAATGTTCTATGTTATCGCAGTATGGACGTTAAAAGTAGTCTAATAGGCATTAGACGCAATATACAGTCGTGTACAAGCGTTAATAACATGGGCTGAATACTGTTAACACCGAGACACTTGTCCTGCGCGCGCCCGAATATTCAGGCATCCCAAAATGGAGGTAGCGACTGAGACGCGATAACTTCTCGAGCTCTTGAAGCATACTCTCAAGTGTATGAGTGACTGTAGACGGGGTTTGGGTTGGTAATCGCCTTTATTGAACACTGGCAGAACGTAGCTACAAATAACTACGACGGTCTCACTGAGTTACACACTGCAAAGATCGCTGTACCCACAGCACACATAAAGTCTTCTCAGGCTTCATTAGTCGTTTACACGTAACGGATACTAACAATGTCCTCTGCTTACGCCCTTACCGGCTGCCGAATATCTCACAACTGACCGCCTATCTGTAGCTCCCAACTTGTCGCGCTTATAACATCTCGGTACGGACTGCACAGAAAACACCGCTCTTCGTTGTACCTGAGTAGTTTGCATTGGAACATGTTTGATTGCGAAGCTGTTACTCAGCAACGAATCTTGTATATTTGCTTACCTCGCGGTTGTTGCCCAGCAACGGGTCTACATGCTGCAACATTAAGACAGCTCTGTATAGTTTCGCAGTGGACATGGTACATGAATTCTATAGGACATTTTCACAACTACTTACAGCAGGAATTGGTTTCTTTTTATCCGTCTGGCCCTTTTTTATTACCTCCTTTGCCCTAGTTATGGCGATTGCGATGATAATGATGGTAATAATAATAATAATTAACAAGGAATGACTAATCAGCTGTGTCTTTTTATAGAATCCGAACGTTCCATATTCGCAAAAGCCTACCGCCAGTCCCTACCATGGGCCAGATGAATTCAATCCAAATTTCCGCATCCAATTTAATATTATCTTCCCATATACTGCAAGTGGTCTCTTCCCTGGAGTGACTGTCACGAGAATCTTCTGTGTATTTCATTTATGTATCCGTTTATTTATTGTTCATATAATGCCGCACACTACTGCTTCGTATTCAGGAAGTCAGGTGTTCGAATTTCGACCTAGGTTTTTCATTATTTTCCTCAGTTCCTCCAGTTAAATCATGGTACTGTATCTCAAACCAGGCCTCCACCGCTTCCTTTCCCATCCTTTCAGTCGCCCTGTCATTGAATGCTATATAATCTGTGCTTCTGGAACCTCGGTAAATAAACAATACTTAACTAAAATATCAGGAAGAAATTGAACCGATTAAAAGCAATTAATGGGAAGGTTATCAGTCAGTGTATTTTAATAAGCACCCAGTGGTTAGATAAAGTTAAAAGAGGCAATCATGTAATCTAATCTTTTCTTCTTTTGCGCCACACGTTATGTCGTCCAAATCAATTTTCAAACAAAAGAATGGAAAATAGCGACATAGAGCCTTTCTGTTATCCCGTGTCTGAGACAGTCTGAACTGTATTAGTAGAGATTTTAGCCTATAAATATGATTTCATACAGGGTGTTCTCTCTGTGAGCGTGAACTCTGGCCGAAGTGTCGCAGACTTCTACCCATAAAGCATAAGTTCGTCTCATGTCTGTGCTGAGAAGAAAACTTACGGGTGAAGTGGCCTCTCGGTGGGCTTTTCGCAGACGTATTGATCGTCCGTATTTCGGAGATGCCGGGTTTTGCTAAAATCTTAATTTGTTTATGAAGTCTGAATGCACTCTACTGTTAATAACGGTTAAAGTTGTTCCACGTCTTAATTAAGCATCACTTCATGAAGACATAAGGGAGTGGAGGTATAGCTCCGCTATTCTTGACCTCGGCATTAGATTGAAATGAGTGGTCAGCTTTACCCCCGGGGATAGAGCCCCCCGGAACCCTTTCGATAGGACGCCGGGTGGGTTCCAGAACCGATCTGGACCCTACGTATAGAAAAATTTTTGCCTCTGCCGGGAATCGAGTTCCGGCCGTTCAACCCATCGCTCTAGGGACTTATCCCGTCTCCTAAGATCCATAATAACATATTAACTTCTTAATATCATAATGGTTTAAATATAAAAAAGTGTGTTACTCGTTGCCCCTTCGTTGACGTCATGATGGAACGAGAGAGGTTTTGAGAAACTGGGTCAAAGCCTTGACCTCCCGGAAGGTAACCCTATGCGTCTCAAGCCCTAATGACCTTTCGGGAACGGATATGAGTGTGCTCCTCTGTCTTATATAAAACGCTGATTGTACTGTACACATTTTAAACATTCCTCTGTGAGCTGGTTTCGAATGATTTACGTCAATTACTGTAAGGTCTCCTTATAAAAGCAGTTGCATGCCCCTGAAAATGGGTTGTTTTAGAGCACTTAATTGTGGTACGAGCCTCGATAGCTCAGTCGGTATAGCGACTAGCTACGAACTGGACGGGCAAGAGGTCGGAGGTGCAAGATTTTTTCTTCGCGTCTTTGGGACCGGTTCTGGGGCTCACCCAACCTCCTATCCAATGGGCACAATGGGCTTATTTCCCGGGGTGTCAAACTGACCACTCACCTCCATCTAATGCTGAAGTCAAGAATGGTGGAGCTATACCTCCACTCCCCCATGTCTTTATGGTGTGAAGATTGGTTAATTAAGGACAGGGGCAGTTTTACTTTCTGTTTATTAAATAATTTGTTTCAGTAGATGCTACCATTGAATTTATTAGATTTTAATGTTAACATAATGAGGAGCTTCATAACTTGTACTCTTCTCCAGGTATAATTAGAATGATCAAGTAAGGAGGATGAGGTGGGCAGGGCATGTAGCACGAATGCGAAGATGAGGAATGCATATAGGGGTATTTGTGGAAAAGCCAGAAGGAAAGAGACCACTGGGAAGACCAAGGCGTAGGTGGGTGGACAATATGAAAATGGATCTTCAGAGAAATAGGATGGGATGGTATCGATTGGATCGATCTGGCTCAGGATATGGACCAGTGGAGGGCTCTTGTGAACACAGTAATGAACCTTTGGGTTCCAAAAAATGTTGGGAAATTCTTGAGTAGCTGCAGAATTGGCGGCTCCTCAAGAAGGGCTCAGCTCCATATGTAAGTTAATGTTAACATTCAGTGGGAACAAAAATTGCCATGTCAGAGATGTTTCGGACAGACTTACCTATGACTGGACGGTCGTTGGCATGAAGACCCGTGCAAGCAGAGAGTAGAGGAACCAGGAACAGCAGCAACCGATGCTCCATTTTTCCCCCAGGCTACTATCAGCAATGGGCAAAACAAACCGGGCAGGCTGGACACATCTGATCCTATCACACGCAGATAAATCCACGGTCATGTGATCTCCCCCACCTCCTCAGACATTGATCGTCCGTTTCCTTTCTTGTGGATTTATGTGCCGTCTTCTGCGATGTTACAGCATGGACTCTGGTATAAGCATATCGACGTTTTCGGAGGAACTTACTGCGTCTATCTTCAGAATCGAATGAATATTGTGACAGGTTGCTCGAAGCATTAATATTCAGAACCAGAAAACTCCGTGTAACACGGTCAGCAATAGAACTTCGGTCTCAATAATCACGACAACAGAGGAACTACTGAAGACGTCTCCTAGGCAACGGATACAGAAACGGGCAGTTACATCGGACACGCAAAAAGAGAACCTTCAGGAGGTGATCCTCATACGGTTCGACCAGAACCTTCCTCAGGGAGAGAACTGACCAAACGAGGACAGAATACGACAGAAGAATACAGAAGGATAAAGAAGAGTAGACTAGAGGCCAGTGCATGGTCCAGACAACAGAGAGAGATTCGTTATCCAGAAGGGGGTCAAAAGTGTGAACTGTTGTAATCAAGTGAAATTGTAATAGAGACGCCTAATTGATCCAGTCAGTCCAATCTACAACACACAATATCAGTCACGCATACCCCCCTACACGTGACAATATCTTCGACACTGAAGACATAGGCATTACGTTCCACCGAAACGTCGGTGAATTTAAAACTACACAGCTTCATATACCTATAGGCCGCGCCATAGCTCAAGCGGTTAGTCGCTGGTTTCCCACTCCCCGGGTTCGATCCCGGGTCTACTCAGGTGGGATTTGTGGTGAACAAAGTGGCGCTGGGGCGGATTTTCTCCGAGTACTTCGGTTTCCCCTGCCAATCTTCATTCCACCAAATTCTCCATCATCATAATCACCCGGGGCAGGTACAATAGGCCAATCAGTGGTCGCCGTGCCGAGTGAACCCAGCTGGACTCCACCCCCCACTAAGCTAATTAAAAAAGAGATTCATATCCCAGAAGATAAGTGTTCATTTGTTAACAGATATTATGTGTGAGTAACTACAGACCCATTATCCTTCTCAACAACTTCTCTAAGCTCCTTGAATTCATTATTCACGATCATATTTTGCATTACATTAAACTTCATCCCAACCAGCATGCAAATCCACAGCCACTAATCTGGTATCCTTCCTAGATATTATGACCCCTGTTGTCTGCAGTCAGCGTCAGGCTGATGCTGTCTATTTTGATTTTTCTAGTGCCTTTGACCTCGTGCCCCATACTCTGCTCGTGCACAAGCTCAGCTCCCTTGGATTTTCTGATGGATGCCTTAACTGGCTTGGCAGTTACCTAGCTAACAGGAGATCTCGGGTCCGTGTGTCTGATGCTCTCTCCCGGCCTCTTATGCCGGGTCCAGACTTGTTGCGTATTTCCGTTGCGTATCAACCGATGCAACGCGATAAAATTTCTCCTTGGCAACGAAGAAATGAATCTCAGTCTCGAGCCAGATTTCAGTCAGCAATGACTACACCCAACCTGACGGTAGCAGCGGCCGCGTACATCTATCTTCACTATGCTATAAAGGGAAGAAGAACAAAATCACGACGTTTGTGGATATCACCGATCTATGCCAGTAGGAAAGTATACAGTGGGTCCCATCTTTTGGCGGACTTAAATTTTCAGTCAGTCAGTGGGATGTACAAAAATTTCACAAGGATGCATCCGTCAGATTGTAATGTTCTGTGCTTCGGGGATTCCAAATAACATCCCTCTTTTTATATTCATCAATTAAATATATAATGCTCTCCTTACTCCAATCCATTCAGAGTCTATAAACAGAGAATCACAAACAGAAGAACGCACACTGGTGATGACTACACTCCAACTGTCTGGAGCTGATAAGCAAAGCGCGATGCAGCCGCCTATACGTCCAGACTGGCACCACTGCAACCCGAGTCGTCCCTTTGATGCGACGGGAAAAACCGCCAAGTAACTTCCGGTGTGCCGCAAGGCTCTGTCCTGGGGCCCCTTCTTTTTAACATATTCATTAATGACCTCTGTAACTCGATATGGCATTCCCATTTTCTAATCTTTGCTGATGATCTCAAAATTTTTCGCATCATAGACACTCCGCAGGATTGCCTCTTACTTCAAAATGTCATTGATCATGTCAGTGACAGGTGCTCTGCCAACTCCATGAGTATTGA